TTTTTTGAGACAGAGTCTGGCTCTGTCATTCAAGCTGGAGTGCAGTGGCATCATCTCAGCTCACTGCGACCTCTGCCCCCTGGGCTCAAGACATCCTCCCACCTTTAGCCTCCGCTGGGACTACAGAAACACGCCACCATACGCAGCAAATATTTGCATTTTTTTGTAGAGATGGGATTTCACCATGTTTCCAAGGCTGGTCTTGAACTCCTGGGCTCAAGTGATCTGCCCACCTCAGCCTTCCAAAGTGCTAGGAATACAGGTGTGAGCCACTGTGCCTGGCCCAATACTTTAATAAGGGATACAAATCAGTATCTGTATCAGTTAACCAAATCATCTTTTTAAAGAGAATATATGGCTTAGGGGTTTAGGCTCTAGATAAATACATGGAATCCAGTCACAAGCCAAGATGATTCACACTTCTAAACAGACACCCACACTTTCTGCACTCCTGACAGATGGGTTGCAAAAGATCAGTCCAAACATTTACATAAAAGAAAATTACTATTATTTCCCTGTAAACCAATAAACTATTAGTCTGCACTACAGACCACATTCTTGCGATTTTTATTTTCTTCTGTCCCAGACCTTTCTTTTTTTATTTTCTTATTTCCAAACAGAACTCTGAGACAGTAATGAGAATTTTTGTTTCCATTCTTTTTATTTTTTTCTAATTTTAAGAAATCAACTTATTAAAGAACACTTTGTATTCACAGTAACCTGTGTCCAATTTAAGAGGATTTAAAAGAAAAAAAAATAGCATAAAGAGGAACAGAGCCAGGCATGGTGGCTCACTCCTGTAATTCCAGAACTTTGGGAGGCTGAGGCAAGATGGTTGCTTGAGCCCAGGAGTTCAATACCAACCTGGGAAATGTAGGGAGACCTCATCTCTACAAAAAAAAAAAAAAAAGAAAAAATACAAAAATTAGCCAGATGTGCTGGTGCATGCCTGTAGTCCCAGCTACTCAGGAGGCTGAGATGGGAGGACTGCTTGAGCCCAGAATTTGAGGCTGTGGTGAGCAGTGACAGCACCACACCTGTACTCCAGCCTGGGCAACAGAGCTAGACCTTGTCTTAAAAAAAAAAAAAAAGTTGAGGCAGTGGGGTAGGGGAGATCCAGTTAGAGAATATTGTTTGTAGGCAGCCACCCTAACCACCCACATATACCTTCACACTGTCCCCACAAAACCACCCTTCCCAGGGTACAATAGTCTTGTCAAATTACTTCAGTAATAAAGAAAGCAGCTCATAGGCTTTTAGAATCTTAAAGAGGAGAAAACGGAGGCTTTGATAAACAAAAATTAACCTTGTTAGGAACCTCGAACAAAAAGTCAAATATTCTATCTATCTATCTATCTATCTATCTATCTATCTATCTATTTATTTAGAGACGGAGTCTTGCTCTGTCATCAGGCTGGAGTGCAGTGGCCCAATCTGGGCTCACTGCAACCTTTGTCGGTCGGGTTCAAGCGATTCCCCTGCCTTAGCCTCCGGAGTAGCTGGGACTACAGGTGCGCCACCATGCCGGGTTAATTTTTTTTTATGTTAGTAGAGACGGAGTTTCACCGTGGCCAGGATGGTCTCAATCTCTTGACCTCACCCAGCCTGGTGCAATCTTGGTTCACCGCAACCTCCGCCTGCCGGGCTCAAGCGATTCTCCTGCCTCAGCCTCCCATGAAGATGGGGATTACAGGCATGCGCCACCACGCCAGGCGAATTTTGTATTTTTAGTGGAGACAGGATTTCTCCATGTGGATCAGGCTGGTCTCGAACTCCCGAGCTTAGGTGATCTGCCCACCTCGGCCTCCCAAAGTGCTGGGATTACAGGCTAAATATTCTTTTTTAAGTGTTTTAAAATGAGCTCTAAATAACTGTTTTTTATTATAAGTCTAACCTCCTCTTTCCCATGTGAAAAGTAAACAAATGTATATCTTTGCTAATCAAAGAAAGTGGGAAGTAAATACTGGCGCCAAAAAGAATGTTAAAAAAAAAAAAAAGGCGATGATGACCTGGGGGTAATTGGGACTAGGGAGCAACACTGCCAGAATCCTATCCTATTTCATGGGAAAAGGAATGCCTTGGCTGGGCTCCGATACAGCAGTTATTCCTGCTGGTACCTAAGCAGTTCAGAGACTGCAGGGATACCACCCATCAACAAATTAAACCATCCCATTCCCCAGGCTTCCATATGTGGGAGTTCTCTCCACCAGTGCGATAAAGGCAGGCCCTGGGAAAACAAAGCCCTAGACCACAACAAGGCAACACCCTCTCGCACCCCATTTTCGCGTTCCAGCCCGGCTCCTTTCAGCTACCCCGGGCCCGCTCTCCCGCCTGGCAGGGTATAAAGCTCACACGAGTCTGCCATTCCCTCTGACGCAGCCTCGCAGCGCCTGCTCGCCAACCCGACTGCAGTGGGCTCTCTTGGGCCTCGACCCCGGCGGTGGAGACTAAAGGGTCCAGGCTCGTGTCCCACACAGGCAGCCGCCCTCGGGTCTCGGGTCAGCGTAGCCGAGATGGAGCCGCGCCCCCCAGCCGGGTCATCTCGTGCTAGTTCCTCAGTGCCCACCTGGCTGATTATAGTCTTTCCCCGCCCTCTCCCTCCCGCGCCTGCTGCCAACCTGGGGCCGGCCTTTCGGGATGACCGTCACGCCTCGACGCAGGGCTCCAGCGCCTCGGACTTTTCCTGGGCTCCTGGCTGCCACCTTGCTCTCTGCCACCTCTACCAGCGCTTGCCCCACTTGACACCGCCATCCCGGCCACCGCACTGGGCACAATCTCCGCTGCCCATTGGCTGTTACCTAGGCAACCGCGAGCAACGCCACACTCTATTGGCCCAGCCCGTCTCCGCGCCATCTTTGTGCGGGGCGGAGTGTTTGCGAGCCCGGGCTGACTTTGTGAAAGAGGGATGGTCCCACCTCTGCAACGCAGATAAAGACAGAGGATCCAGGTCTGGCCTACCAGAGGCCGTCTAGTTGAAATGGCAACCCCAGAGAAAACCAAACCTGCGCCCGAAGCAACAGTGACCATCAACGCGAATGGCTCTGATCCTGCTCCAGTCCCCACTGCTGTCAAGGGCCCCGCCGCGGAGTTTAAGGCAGATTCTAAATTCAGCTTCAGAGAAGCAGCTTTGTAAACTGTAACGCGCTGGACAGAACAGCCTCCAATAACTCTGTGCCAGACATTGTGATATCGAGACACTTTTGCATTCATTATAGGAATTTGTGCTGTGCTTGTCATTACCTAGATCCTTTGTGTTTAAAATATAGTAAGTACCTGGCCAGGCGCAGTGGCTCACATCTGTAATCCTAGCACTTTGGGAGGCCAAGGCAGGAGGACTGCTTGAGCCCAGGAGTTCCAGATCAGCCTGGGGAATACAGGAGACTCCATATCTGCAGGAAAAAAAATTACCCACCCTGGTGGTGGGTGCCTGTAGTCCCAGCTACTCAGGAGGCTGAGGTGGGAGGATGCTTTGAGCCCAGCAGGATGAGGCTGCAGTAAGCCATGATCCTGCCACTGTACCCCAGCCTGGGCAACCTAGCAATCTCAAATAAATAAACACATAAATTGCAAACCAAAAAGTATCTGAGACAGGTATCAATCAATTTAGAAGTTTATTTTGCCAATGTTAAGGATATGCCAGTGACACAGCCTTAGAAGGTCCTAAGAACATGTGTCCAAAATAGTCGGGCTACTGCGTGGTTTTATACATTTTAGGGAGACATCAAACATCAATCAATACATGTAAAATATACATTGGGTTGGTCCCAAAAGGGGTTTGGGGATGGCAGGTTTCAGGTTGTAGGTGGATTCAAAGATGTCCTGATTGGCAATTGGTCGAAAGACTAAGACCTGGAACCCATAGAAGGGAATGTCTGGATTAAATTAAGGAGGCTGTTACTAAGATATGCACACACAAACACACACACACGCACAGAGTTGTGGAAACCAAGGTTTTTATTATGCAGAGAAGCCTCCAGGTAGCAGGCTTCAGAAAGCATAAAATGACAATGTGTTATACTGGATCGAGCGTAGAAAGTTAGCACCAAGACAAAAGTATGCCAGATTGCAGGGTCATTTATTATGCTGGCGACCACAGAGGACTCACGTCTCTCCAATCTGTGGCGTCGAAAGGAGGGTGCCAAGACTTTTTATACCCAAAAAACCACCTTGGGAGTGGGGGTGAGGAGCGGGGATGGGGATGAAAAGGCTTCAGACATTCTGAGGGCTAGTGGATTCTGTAAATCATCTCCTGGGCGGAGACAAGGGCTCCGGATGTTCCAAGGGCCAGGGGACTCTTGTCATTCCATTTGTTACTTAAGTGTTTCACAGAAGTCAAGATAAACATTTGTTTACACATTATCTGGGTAAGGTGGAAATCACAGACCTTAGTTACTTATTACAAGTCGCAGGGGCCAAGATGGCATTAGTTTGGGCTGCTTAGTCTGGCAATTGCCGGCAAGCAAAGGCTAGCAATTCTGGCAGTTACTGATAAGAAAAGGTAAGCAGCTTTACATAGTGGCTAGTTTGCAGAGCAAACTAGCAGTTTTATTTCCAGTAGCCAAGGCTAGCAGTTTATTATGAGGAGAATGGGGCAGCTGTTAACAACTATTTTTAAAAACAGCTTTTTCTTTTATAAAATGATGTTGTTCAGGCTCTAACTCTAGGCCAGCTACAGCACAATATCACAAATATTTCTTTGTTTTTTGTTTTGTTTTGACAGGGTCTCCCTCTGTCACCTAGTCTGGAGTGGAGTAGCTGGATCATGGCTTACTGCAGCCTTGACCTCCCAGGCTCAAGCAATCCTCCCACCTCAGCCTCCTAAGTAGCTGAGACTACAGGTTCATTCCACTATGCCTGGCTTATTTTTGTATTTTTTATAGAGATGATGTTTCGTCATGTTGCCCAGGCTGGTATTGAACTCCTGGGCTCAAGTGATCCTCTCACTTCTGCCTCCCAAAGTGCTGGGATTACAGGCATGAGCCACCATACTTGGCCAGTGTATTTTACCAGATTTAAAAAGGTATCAGACTCTTAGTTCTCCACTGTGTCAGGAAGAAGACCTGGAAAAGTCAGGGGATTTTCTACAGAATGTAGACTTTCACCACAAGACACCTTTGCCCGCTATCATGACAGATGGGGCCTGCTATCTGTCAATGTTGGTATTATTGCTACAAAGAGTCTGCTGTGTCAACCTTAAGGTCTCTGCTTTAATGTTAAATGCTGGTCCTGAGTTCCAAAAGGATGAGAATATAATGAGGCATTCTGACTCCTACTTCTTATCATGGGCTCAACTAGTTTTTCAGGTTAATTTAGGAATGCCCTTGGGCTGAGAACAAGAGCCCATTCATTTGGTTGGGTGCTTAGAATTTTATTTTTGGTTTACAAAATAAATAAATACATACATAAAATATAGTGCCAAGATTGGAGCAAATCCTCCCAAATACCATACACATCAATCTGTGTATCCATATGTTTACTTCTTAAACAATGTGAGTGCAGCATGACGCTAGGTTCTTTCAGGCTTGAAAAGCCATGATTGCTACTCTTATGGCATATGTAAGTAGCTGAATATGGTGGCAAGTGCCTGTGGTCCCAGCTACTCAGGAGGCTAAGGCAGGAGAATTGCTTGAGCCCAGGAGGTCAGGCTACAGTGAGCCATGACTGCACTGCTGCACTCAGCCTGGTTAACAGAGATGCTGTCTCAAAAACATATATACATACATACATACATACATAAAAAATGTAGTTTCTTGGCCAGGGGAATGACATACTAAAAGCAATATTTTATGAAAATTAATCTGGCAGTGACACTCAGAGATGATGAGTGAGATATTGGAAGTAGAGTAACAAACTCAGAAGTTATTGCAATAATGCAACTAAGACATCCTGAAAGTTTCATGTGACATCAGTGGAGATGAAAGAAAGGGGGTGAATATGAGACATATTTCACAGAGATATTTGTTAAGAATCAATCTACTGTTAAGAGCATGGAAACAGTCTGCCTGGATTTGGATCCAGCTCTGCCATTTACCAGCTGAATGACCACAGGCACATTACCTTTACCTCCCTGGGCCTCAGTTTCCAACATCACAGGAGACTGTAAAGCTGGTTCCATGAGTCAATCCATGTAATGCACTTAAAACAATGTTTGCCATATATTTAGCATTTGGTAAATGTTAGCTCTTCACATGTCTTAGGGAATGTACTCACACTCTTTTCCACAAAAGGAAAATCAAGTTCTAAGAGGTAGATACAAAAATAGATTCTGAATTTTTT